ATGCTACACCTCACCCCTCAGATGCCACCCCCCACCCCGGGTCACCGCTCCCCATCACGGCTGAACCAGTGGGTGCCACCGTCTCTGTCGCATCCGCCCGCCCCTGTGAGCCGCCTTCCTTTCCCCTGGAACGCCAGCTCCGTGGGGCGGGCCGTGCGTGCGTGGCCCCCGGCCCTGTTGGAGGTCCAGCCGCGGTGCTTCCCCTTACACACTTAGGGGTGTGCATCCGGCACCGGCCCCCTTGCCTGTCCGCGTCCGCCTCGGGTCTCATGGTCGCGGGCTCCTCCCGGGGCGCCAGCGAGCGGAGACGTCTGTGTGCCCCGCAGCGGAGCTCAAGTTCAACCTGGACCAGTACGTCAGCAAGCGGTACCCGGGCCTGGTGAAGGTCGTCCGGAACAGCCGGCGGGAGGGCCTGACCCGGGCGCGGCTGCAGGGCTGGAAGGTGGCCACGGCGCCCGTCGTCGGCTTCTTCGACGCCCACGTGGAGTTCGGCACCGGCTGGTAAGGGCTGGTGCGGGCTGAGTCACTGCGGCCCGGCTGCTGGCCTTGGGGGCTCTGTGTCAGAGCCAGCTAAGGCGTCCGAGTCCAGCCCCATGGCTTCTTGGCATCCAGCCCCTTGACCTCAGACTCCGTTTGGGAGGGGCGGGTCTCAGGGCGCCCCCGTGTGAGGATTGGTCTGTACCCCCACCCGTCCCAGAGGAGTTCAAATTGGCCACTAATTCCAGCAGGTGGCAGAATGAACAGAGGATGCATCAGGGCAGCACACACAAGGTTGGGGCAGTTGCTGTGTGCGCATGCGGGCGACAGGGTCCTGGTCAGTTACTCGAGGTCCGAGCCACCGGGCACAGTCGGGAGCAGGTTTTGGTCCTTATAGAACGTTCTGGGTCAGAGTCCACATGTTCTCTGACCGGCCATGAAGAGGCGAAGCTTCTGATGAGAAGCCTGGGGGCGTTGCGGGAACGCCCATGGCGGCAGGGAGGTGGCGGGGCTCCTGTCCAGCTCTGCCCAGGGGGCCGGGGCCCTGCAGGTTCTCACACTCCGCCAAACCAGCAGCCCGAGAGCTGGCAGGAGATGCAGGCCCGTGACCAGGGCCCTTGGGTGGGGCCAGCAAGTCACCCACAGCCAGGGACTGCTCCCCTGGGACGCCCTGCACAGAGCACCCGGGACTCCCACTGCTCCCAGGGGGGCCCCAGGAGAGCCCGTGTCCTCGTCCTTGGCCCTTGTCCTCCCTGCGTCACGGCCTACGCTGCCCCCGTTTCTCCACTCCGGTCACCTGGCCTGCTCCCCAAGCACACCGTGCACCCCAGGGTCTCAGCGCAGGCTGTTCCCCCTGCGTGCGACGCCCCCCACACAACCCCCGCATCCCCTCTGGTTGTGGCCCACGCCGCCCCCGGGATCCCCATCCGAAACCGCGGCTCCTGGCCGTCCTCACCCATCTCTTTCCTCCGGGACACCGATCCCTCCTCGTGTGTGTCACCGTCTGTCCGCCTTGTCCGCCCCCGCCCGCCCGGTCTGAGCCACCGCGCCTTGGGGTGTAGGTCGCACAGTGCCTGGTGACATCCCGTGTCCCTCCAGCATATCGTGAGCCCCCCGAAGCGTGAGCCTTTTATTTTCTTGGCTTACAGACGTGTTTTTAGTTCGTTACGATGGAGTGTGGCACAGAACCGGCCCTCGGTGACTGTGAACGGATGCACCTTCCACAGGTGCAGGCGGGAGGGCAGAAGTGGCCGGTGGGGGCAAAGGCCCCGTGACAGACTCGGTGGAGCCCAGGGAGCTCTGGAGCCAGGACAGCCCTTCAGAGATGTCACAGATGTGGCCGAGGTGGTTTCCACGTCCCCAGTGTCAGCCGGGCGTTAGCGGTGCAGCCCAGCAGGCAGGACCCTGAGCGCTGTGTGCGGGAGACGCCTGGGCCTGCAGACGGGCGGCCGTCCAGCTGCCTGGGGCTGAGCTGGCCCATCTCCGGGGACTGGGCGGGGGCCCAGCCCGCAGCCCCCTCACGACGCGCACCCTCCCACAGGGCCGAGCCCGCCCTGGAGCGGATCCAGGAGGACCGCCGGCGCGTGGTCCTGCCGGCCATCGACAACATCCGGTTCGACACATTCGAGGTGCAGCAGTACGCCAGCGCGGCCCACGGCTACAGCTGGGGGCTGTGGTGCATGTACATCGCCCCGCCCCAGGACTGGCTGGACCGCGGGGACGAGGCCGCGCCCATCAGGTGAGCCGCAGGCGGGCGGCCCACAGCGGAGGCTACGGGACAGAGAGGCCGGGCCACAGAAAGCCTGGGGCGCGGTGGGGCGGGGCGGGGAGGCGAGCATGGCGGGGCGCAGCCAGGCGTGCAGGGCACGTGGTGGCAGCAAACGGGAGCTGGCTCCGAACTGTGACCTGAGTGATGACAGGGTCGGGGGACAGGGGGACAGAGCCTGACCGAGAGAGGGAGATGGAGAGACAGAGGCAGAGACCGGGGCAGAGACTCCTCAGTTCGTCCTGCAAAACGTTTATTCTGAACCAGTTCTTAGACGTGAAAACGGATTTTTACGTTAGAAGTGCAGAAATCAAGCATCGCTTGAAGAGCGGGCGGCGCGTGTGCTCACACGGCAGCGGTCATCGGGGGCTGAGGGGTCTCCCCGTCCTGACGGGAGTGTGGTCCCCGCTTGGCCGCAGTCCCTACCGCCCCCTCTCGCCCCTGACACGCGGCCACCGCACGTGCACGTCAGCCTTCGTGCACCTGGCTTGTGTCCTGTGTCTCCGTCACCAACTCAGCTTCTGCAGCTGGCAGCCCCACCCCGAGTCGGCCGACCCCCCAGGAAGTTCTGCTGTGACACCTGCTGTGGCCACTTTCTCTGGGGCCCAGCCAGGCCGAGGGGTCCACCTGGAATGCACATGCATCTCCAGCCTTCGCCCGGTCCCCGGACAGGTTCGGGATTTCAGGGGCTGGGGCTGGGGGCCCCTCCCGCCTCATCTGTGCAACCCGGTGTCCCTGCCAGACCCTGCTGGAACAGCCCACCTCACCTGGAGTGACCGAACCGCCCACCCTGCGCCTTCGAGAGCTCTCCCCGCCTTGGAGGGCCTTATGGGCTTCCCAGGCTCCTGCCGTCCGGCGGCGCAGAGCCATTCGGCGACAAGATGAGCCTCGGAGCAGCCGGGCCGTCGGGCAGGGCAGCCGGTGGGCACCGTGCGGTGGGCTCGCGTGGCCCCAGCCACACTTTGCCGATTCTGACCGAGGGCAGTGACGCTGCAGTCACAGGGGCTGTGACACAGTGGTCACGTCCGGTGGCGGGAAGCGGGAGCAGGCGGCCTCCCCGGGGCCTCGCACTGTACCCATTGTCACGTCCTCGGTGGTGGCTCCCAACAGCCGGTTGCGCCTGTGCAGGGAGCAAGAGGGGTCAGAATGCGGCTCAGAGTCCGTCCTTCTGCAGAGGCCTGGACCAGTCCCAGGACCCCTGGGATTAGGGCCGCAATGTGAAGGTCCTTCATTCAGAATGCGCTTGATGCCCCACGGGCAGCAAAACGAGTGCCCTGGGCCTGACGTTGCAGTAACGTCGAGAACCCAGGACGGGGCACGCCCCTCCGGTCTGGGCAGCCCGGACACCCCGGCCACACAGGGAGCAGGACTCCGTGGCGGGACCGCACTTCGTCTCCAGCTCTGCTCCTGATGGCTTTGCCTGGAGAGTGTGAAGCCCCAGTGCCAAACCCCAAATAAAGAATGAGGGCGAGCCTCGCTCAGACACTGCACGCAGCGAGACAGGGACAGGGGACAGACACACAGGGGACAGACGCACGGGACAGACACACGGGACAGAGGCACGGGACAGACGAAACACAGATCTCGTGGAAGGATGCCCCCAGGTGAGTCACAAGGGATGTGCAAACGGCCGTGAGTGGACGGCGCCCATGCTGCAGAGAGGGCCGGGCCGGACGGACAGGACAGGCCGAGGCCGACCGGGTGGAAGCGCCGGGCGCTCGGGCGTGGCTGGCGGGGGACGAGATGGGAAGTGCTTGGCAGCAGCGTGGCAGCTCCTCGTCCAGGGAGAAACCGCCTCCTGTGTGCGCGGCCGTCCAGGAGAAATGACCACACGCCCGCCTCAGACTCGCCCGCGACGTCCCCACGGCAGCTCACAGGGCCCCAGTGGAAGCAGCGCCAAGGTCCGCCGGCAGGACAGTGGTCTACCCGGGCGACGGCGCAGTCCTCAGCAAAGGGACAGACCGTGGCCCCTGTGACGATGCGGGCGAAACGCAGGATGCCCAGGCCAGGCCGGAGAAGCCCCACACGGGGCCGCTGGGGACGGGCCTCTGGGCTCCCTGTGGTGCCGCAGGGCACGGGCTGGTGTCCAGGTCCCGGGGCAGGGCTGGGCAGCCCTCACGGCCCCCGAGTCCTGAGCAGAGGGGCCCCAGGCCCCTCACGCACTGGGGGCCTCCTGTCCCCTGTGCCTGTCCCCAAGGAGGTGCCCTGGGTACTGGCTGCTTGGCTGGGGTCTGAGGTCTCGCCCTGGCTCCCGGAGCCCTCGCCCCATGCCTGGCGGGAGGAGCCGCCACCGCTTCTGAAGGACACTGTACAGCGCACCGGATGTGTCGGGAGAGGCCGATGTCTGAGGGAGACTCCAGGAAACGTTCTTGCCGTCCGTCCGTCCGTCCGTCCGTCGTACTCGGAGCTCGGGGGGAAGAGGAGGGGGGAGGTCACAGGCTCAGGGTCCCCGAGGACACCGTTTGGTCTTGGCGGGGAAGGAGATGCACCGGGCGCATCTGAGAGGCTGGGGTGGCGCCTGGGAGTCCCGCGGGCTCAGGGTGGCCGGTCACGAACGCCAGTGGGACGGAGATGTCTCTGGGTTCTGGCAAAGTCGGACGGGACCCACAAACCCGGGCTGCGCTGGTTCCTGCTGCCGTGTCCCCGGGGGCTGAGCGGAGGTCACGGTGCAGAGGCGTGTCCTCTCCGGCCTGGTGGGGTCTGCACATGTGTTCCCCAGGAGTGCAGATCCAGCCGGCGTGTCTGTGTTTGTGGGATCACATGTGTGCGTGTGCATCTGTGCGTCTACACGTCTGTGGCGTGTGGGGAGGTACACGTGTGTGTCTGTGCATCTGTCTACGGCATTTGTGGGTGCATGTGTGTGTGCATCTGTGTGTGTCCGTGGCCTCTGAGGCAGGAACCTACATGCGGGCACCTGGCTGCGAACGTGCTGCACATCAGCCCAGACGTGAGGAGGCCCCCCGAGGTGGGGCGGGCGCCTGCACCCAGGACCCGGGGACCCTCGGCCCCTGCCGTTTACGGTCACCGCAGCAGAATTTCTCAGGCAAATAAATTCAGTGCCAGCTGATTCTGCTGCCATTGCTTCGGGTGTTTATTTTAAGTTTATTTTGAAATTCAGAGCCATCGTTAAAAAATCGTCACCGGCAACGGTAGACGTGGTAGGGAATTCCGCAGTTTGGGCCGTCAGCGATCACCCCAAGATCCTTCTTAGTTGTTAAGGAAGCGAGAGAAACGTGTGTTGCACGTTGGTGGCCGGTAGCTCCCCCGGTCACACGCTTGCTGTCGGGGATCGGATGTCGTGACCGTTGGACCTGTGGCCAGACTCCACCAACTGGACAGGTCGGACCTTTGACCCGCGGAAGGACGATCACTTCTCCGTGCCTGTTTTCTTGGACGGCGATGAGCATAACTCCGAGCTCCCGGCCACCGGAGCAGACGTGCGACTGAGACCCGTTTCTCTGTCGGTTTCACGGACGAGGAAGTGAATGCACATGGACAGGAACAGCCGGCGCCATGCGGCAGATCGCGCGGGGAGCAGCCTCGCCTCCGAGGGGCCCCGGAGCCCCCGCTCGCCCTCAGGGCTCCGGAGACGCCAGGCCCTCGGCCTGCGAGGGGGCTCTCTCTGCTCTGAGGCAGGATCTCTCATCCGACGCTCGGAAGGCCCGGCCTCCCAAAGCGCGGACTGTGCCCACCTCCTGCCCGAGGGAGGGTTCCGTTTCTCTCTTCTCCACTGTCCCCACGGGCTGGCAGCCGCGCGCTGCGCCCTAAACTGCCGGTTGGCTGGATGGAGGAACGGACACGCGTGTGGCACGACTCGCCGGCACCGCGTCCCCTCGTCCCCTTCCGCCGCCAGCCCGGCTCAGCCACGGTGCGTCGCTGCTCCACGGGGCGCTTCCCACGGGGTGCGCGGCCCTGGCGGGTTTTTGCTGCGCGTCAGGGACGCAGCGGCACTTCGGCCGGTGACCTTCAGAGGCGCTGGCTCGGTCGGCGCGAGATCGACGGACGCTTCGAAAACGCGTGGGTGTGAGCAGGACTGTGACGGAGCCGAGGCGCCGCAGCCGCATCCAGCCCCACGCTCTGTGCCGTGTCCTTCGGAGCGTGACCTCGGCGAGGGTCGTGGAGCGGAGCAGTGCGCGGCCCGCACGGCTGCCCGCTGCAGCGCCGAGCGCTCGCACACGGACGGGACACCGGACACCGCGGCGACGAAGGCAGGCCGGTCTCCCAGCTGGGGAAGTGGGGTCCGAGGCAGTCGGACCGCTCACTGGGACGCTGGCGTTTTAGGGTGCCTGCGGCCGAGCGGCCTGGCTCGCGTGCCCGGGGCTGAGCGAGCGTTGAGACTTGGTCCTCGCTCTGTGACCTGCCGGGCTCTGAGGGCTGCCGAGACCGGCCCGAGTCCCAGCAGCCGGAGGAACAGCTGTCGGGAGCCCCCGGCACAGTGGCCAGGCAGAGATGAGCAGCACGGGGCTGAGGCCGCGGGGAGGGGCA